AGAGTCTCACTTTGTCACCCCCGGTAGAGTGCCATGGTATCATAGCTCACAGCAACCTCAAACACTTGGGCTCAAGCAATTGTCTTGTCTCAGCCTCCCAAGGAGCTGGGACAACAGGCGCCCACCACAACCCCCGGCTATTTTTAGAGACAGAGTCTCGCTCTAGTTCAAGCTGGTCTTGAACTCGTGAGGTCAAGCGATCTGCCCACATCGTCTCCCAGAGTGCTGGGATTACAGGAGTGAACCAGCGCACCCAGCCTGAGAAATCTAGTTTAGAAATGCAGACCAGACATGAGGGTAAGAGGAGCCAGCTATGATGTAGCGGCCTTCCCTCTCCTTCCTTCCTCAGTGGGCTCTAAGAGGGCTTACCCCATGCCTCAGAGGAGGAGAAACCTAAGGGTTTCTGTAATGGAGACGTTGAAAGTGGAGTGCAGGGTTTGGCTCCCAGGGGCAATTTGGCAAAGGAACCCGAGTTTCTGTTATTCCTGGTAAGTCTGCCCATGCTTACTGTTTCTGACACTCAGCAGAGCCTCAGTGGGACTCAGACTCAGTGTCACTCACCCTCTTTTCTGGGTTCCTAGTGCTTAGCTTCAGAGCACAGATTTATTGGTAACGGAGTTTTCAATCACTGCTGAGCCCTTGGGAATCTAAAGCATGAGAGCATTCACACATGTGCTTCTGCAGTTAGTTTTTCATTAAAATGACAAGTTGGGGTCTAGAATAACTGAACTTCCACACTGGAAAGTCGATCCATCTCGCTAAGGCTATCTCTGATATCATCAGTGATAAGATGTGTCTCAGTTGGATGAAATAGGATGTCTCTCCCCCACAGGGCCCTGGCAGACTGACCCTGAAAGACCTCTGAATTCAGAGTGGTTCATTTCTTATTTTCAGACAAAAAGGTTGCATTAAGGTACATGGAGATTAAAGTAACAGGGGACTAAAATTAAGTACCTCTAACTCAGTTCCTGTTGCCATTCCTAAAATCTCATGTTGTGTGGCATTGTGCTTTCGGGACCAATGCTGCCGTACAGAACTTTCCATGACAATGGGAGTGTTCTGTCAATCCACAGTTCAGTGCAGTAGCCACCAGCCGCATGTGGCTACTGAGCTCTTGAAATGAAGTTTTCATTTTTAATAGAATTTTAAGTTTGATTTAGTCCTGGTTAATTTTATCTTTTCTTTGCGTCTGTTTGTTGAGACAGAGTCTTACTATGTCATCCTGGGTAGAGTGCTATGGCATCATAGTTCATAGCAACTTCAAATTCTTGGGCTTAAGCCATCCTCTTGCTTCAGCCTCCTTAGTAGCTGGGACTACAGGTGCCCGCCACCATAGCCAGCTAGTTTTTTCTATTTTTAGTAGAGATGGGGGTCCGTCTTGCTCAGGCTGGTCTCAAACTGAGCTCTGGCAATCCACCCGCGTCGGCTTCCCAGAGTGAGAGGATTACAGGAGTGAGCCACTGAGCCCAGCCTATAGTCTTGGTTAATCTTCAATTAAATAACCAAATGTAGCTAGAGATTATCACAGAGGCCTTCTCCGATACCCACTGGCCCCAAGGCTTAAGTGAAGGTTTAACCAGGACTCAAGGTTGGGCTTTTGGCCCCCCAGAGCAGCCCCTTTCTCCCCTAAAGCCAAAGTCCGTCCTGCAGCACCTAATCGCCTTCCCCTCAAGGCCACATTCTCTCAGCACTTCTGCATTCTTCCATGTCCCCTCGTCCATCCCACCCAAGACCCCCCAACCCCCCATGACTCCCAACCCACTGTGATGTGTCAGTGGAGTTAACCCTTTGTCTCCCCTCCCACTAAAGAAACTGTTTTAGGGGCACAGTGATGCCAGGCTGCCCAGGCATGAGGAGGGTGGAGGGGAGCAGGTAGAATCCCTCCGGGCCAGAGCTCTGGGTGTCTCTCCCACCTGACTATGGAGCCTCCTGCCTGTTCTGCAGCTCCGGGTCCCCACACTGTAGGCAGCTCTGCCTTGATCAGCATCCCAAGGACGAGCCAAGGGCTGATTTCTTTGGATTTCATCCAGCTGGATGTCTGCATTGCCAAGGCCACCCTGGCTAGCTCAGCAAGTGGGTGTACAGACCAGGGTCTCAGAAACCTTGTGTGTATGTGAGGCGCTGTGGGATCAGAGAACCACAGGGGCAGGAAATTCTAATCCCAACCCCGTTGGAAACTCTCTGGGTGGCCCCCACTTGCTAATCCTCCAAGCAAACCTCTGCTTCCTCCTCTAAAGGCAGAAGGTTGGAAAGAATAAACAATGAGAGTCGCATTAAAAACACAAAATCCTACGGAAATACTGAAGAATAAGTCTTAGCACTAAGGAAACGCTTCCAGCAGCTCCTGCTTCCTGCTGAAGCATCAAAACTGTGACTCGGTGTTACTCAGAAGCACTTTTTCATGGCAATGCTCTGGCAGCATTAGTAGCTCTAACTACTAACCTTTACAGTAAATTAAATACACGTTTACATGGAGAAACTCCCACTGGTTTCTCAGAATAGCCTGGTTAGGAAGGTGGATGAGCCAACATCTTCATCTTATGCATGAAATTCCTGAGACTTCACGAGCTGATATATCTGGTATTTACTAATTACTATTTGGTAGAGCCAGGGCTTGGACACGGGTATTCTGATTTAGAATCCAAAACTTTTGTCAGTGAGAACAAAATCTCCTGATGATGTGACAGATTTTCCCACTTAATGCCAACAGATCAGAGACCTCCAAATCCTGCCAATGTCCAGCCCAAGTAGGGGAGACCACTCCAAATTCCAAGACATATGGTTTGCCTTGCTGGGCCTTTTCTCTATGGTTGCCTTTGCCCCACCTGAGCTGTGTTATTTCCTAGACTTGCTGAGGTTTTGAAGAAGTTCCTGTTCAGTAGAAGAATAAGCAATATCATTAAATCACCCTGCATTTCTGGTTTCCTTGACTGACTGACAAGGCCTGGCAGAGAATCTTCAGTGAGAGCCTGGCCTCTTGGCCTGCACTGATGGCTTGTGCCTGTCCCTGAGTCCCAGTCTGTCATAAGCAGCTGGTTTCTAAAACATTACATCCCATGTAAAACCTGAGCCATGGGCTCCCTTGTGAGCCCATGACCTACAGCCCACTCTGTTCATCTCTGGGATCTGGACTCTGGCCTGGGTTGGGGCAAAGAGGGAAATAAGAGCATCTCCTGACCTCCATCTTCTTGGCCCACAGATATCAAGGACCCTGACCCCGCCGTGTACCAGCTGAAAAGCCCTAAACTGGGGAACACTTCCGTCTGCCTGTTCACTGATTTTCCTTCTAATAATACAAATTCATCCAATAATGAACCGGACGTGTTCATGTCAGACAAAACTGTGCTGGATATGAGGTCCACGGGTTCCAAGAGCAATGGTGTCTTGGCCTGGAGCCAGAAAGCTGAGTTTGCATGTGCAGACACCTTCATGGAGGATCCCTTCTACTCTAACTCAGGTGAGTCCAGACTTGGTGTCTTTGCAAGAGGAGTTTCCTGGCTTCAGGAGAGGCCCGGCTCTGCCTGGAGCTCAGGTCAATGGTATCTAAAAGCCACGCTGATTGGTAGTCTCAGCCTCATCGACTGTCATCAAAGCCCCACACTGTGTTTCCTAAGGAGCACTGAGCCCTGCCCTGGCAGTTCATGTTATGTCCTGGGCAAAAGACCGATGAACAGGCGGCAGGAGGGGGCCCTGGCCCAGCCTCGGCCTCCCCACTCTGAGCTCTCACCTCCCTGCCTTTGTTCAGGCTGTTGCCCCTTCCTGCTCCTCCAGGCCCTATACTAATGCCCTTCTCCAAGAGGCCTTCCTTCATTTCTCCCTGTCTGCCAAAATATCTTCCCCTGCTCCTGACCTCTCTCAGTCACTCATTCATTCAGCAACTGTTGGCTGTGCAGTGCCAGGTGCTGGAGTAGAGGAATAGAACGCCAGATGAGGGGGCCTTCCCTGTGGACAGTCCATTCTAGTTGGGGGAGTCCCTCCATCAACAGGGGCAAATCTAAGAAATTTCAGATTGTAATGTGTGCGTTAACTTGGGGTTGAGGAAACAGACACCATCTGGGGCCAAAGTCAGGGACAGGCTCTCTGAGGAAAAGCTATTTAAAGGTACCAGCCAAAGGCAGAGAGAGGACCCCAGGGAAGCCTGAGACAGGGGTGTAGTCAGAACAGAGAAGAGCAGCAGGAGCTGGGTGAAGCCAGCAGGGCCAGGACTCAGGGCCTCGAAGGCCATGAGAATGCAGACACTAAGCCAAGTGTGCTGGGAAGCTGTTGGTTGGCTTCAAGTCGGGGAAGGACACCTAATTCCCTTTTGTAAAGATCAGCCTGACAGCTGTGAGGAGACTAGGCTGTAGGCTTCCACAGAAAGGGAGTGATTGCAACAGAGATGATGGAGGCCTGGACGGGGTGGTAGCAACACCATCAGGTTTCAAAGATAGAACCAGGCAGAGATGGGAAGAAGAGGGGATCAGAGACAGTGGCTGGGTTTGATGCCTGAGCAGGTGAGTCAATGGTAGCACTGTTTATGGAGATGGAACAAACTTAAGATGGAGCTATGGGGCTCGGCGCCTATAGCTCAACCAGCTAAGGCGCCAGCCACGTACACCTAAGGTGGCGGGTTCGTATCCCCAGCCCGGACCCGCCAAACAACAATGA